CCTATAATCCCAGCTACTCAGGAGGCAGATATGGGAGGATCACAGTTCAAAGCCAGCCCTGGCAAAAAGTTACCTAGATGCCATCTCAATCAATCAGCCAGGCATGGTGGCTCCAGGCTGTAATCTCAGCTATGTGGGAGGCCACCCAGGGCAAAAACTTGAGCCCCTACTAAAAAATAACAGAAGCAAGTTGTAGAGAGCCTGCCTAGCAAGTTGAAGCCTTGAGTTTAAACCTGGTACTGCCCCCTCCCCTCCCAAAATAATAAAAAGCAAAATTACAAAGTGTGACGTGTAACCTTGTAGCTATGTGCTTAGTCACACAGCTCCTTTGCCTATGACCCTGATTTGTTTCTCAGGTGTTTGTTTCTGCACATCGGAAACTAGAAAGAAGCCAGAGTTGAGCTGCAGCCCAGCCTGGGCTACAGAGCAAACACAGCAAAACCTGTCTGAAAAACAGGTGGTGTGGGGGGCTTGGGTGGGGAGTTGGGGGGGTTGTTGGTGGTGGTGGTGATGGAGTGGGGAGAGCCTATAGCTCAGTGGTGGATTGGCGGTATGGCTCAAGCAGTAGAGCACCTGCTTTGCAAAAATGAAGCCCGAGTTCAAACCTCAGTCCCACCAAAAGAGAAAAAAAAAAAAAAAAAGCCTATAGCTCAGTGGTAGAGTGCCTGCCTAGCATGCAGGAGGCCCTGGGTTTGATCCCAGCATCACAAATAACCCCTCAAAAAGAGCACTATCACAATTATTTAGGTCCTCACAACCCCTCCACCCCAACCTACAAAATGTTAAAAATGTTAAGTTCAAGTGAAGAAGAGTGGTGGGAATTGGAAGTACAGTAAGCATAACAAACTGACTTTAAAAACGTGGTCTTATCAAAATGCTGCTCACACAGGTTACTAAGAGCTTAACTCACTGTGGAATTATTCGGGTACTGATTCTGCACAGTCTCAGTGACAAAGGGAAGAGGACGCCATTAAAACGGACCAAACTCCAGCTCTCCCGAGGGAGCATCAGTATGCAAGTCCTGCTCTGGTGCCACCAGAAGATTTAGAGGGCTATCCACTCAAGGCTCTGGCCTTCCAGTGCTTCTGAGCTGTGCTGCTTGCTGCTCACGGGGCTCTCGGGCTTTCCCTACAGGGGCCAGAGAAAAGGAAGAGGGGAGCAGGCCTCCCAAAAGCACAGGGAGGAGACCATTTTCTCTCTGCTACTCACACCTTGTCCTTAGGGATCAGACTTCAAAAAATTCTCTTTATAGTATTCTCAATTCAGTTGGCCCCAAAAGCCTCTGCCTGTCTTCTGAGATGCAAAAGGGGTATGTCGTCCTTCCATTCCGTGTGTGAAATTCTCTCTCTTTCTCATAAGGTGAGGTGATGATTCGTGGTCTGAAAGTGCATTGGGTCCCCTTGGGGTTCTCCTCACAGGGCATAGACCTGCCTTCTCCCCATTCTCACAGAATCAGTCAGGGGAGAAGGTAGCAGGCTGCCGTTCTGAGGGGCCAAATGGGAGCTTTGGTTTCTCCTTCCATTTTATTCCAGTGATTTCTTTCTTTCTTTTTTTCAGTCAGTAACATTAGCAGCTAGCTCAGCTAGTCTGGCTCTCTGCCAAGTTTGCCTGAAGAATTTTATGTCAGTTTTCAACTTGATTTTTCCAAGAAAAAGACTTGGGTCCACCAGTGTAACGATGCAGTGACAAGGATTGAGAAGGGGTTGTGGCAGTTTCAGGCTGTCAGCACCAACCCTGGAATAACCAGGGATCTCACACGCCAAGATATGATGTTTCCATGGCAACACAGCTTTAAACCTTGTTGATGTGACACTGTCTAGGAAAATGAACAACACCTTAACCTAGATACCCTGCTGTAACGTAAGGTCAGGGTGCATTCGAGTATGAGGGAAGTGAAGGCAAAATGCCTTCTGCACAGACCATTCAAGTGTGGCTGAGGTGATGGAAGAACAAGGCTGAAATTCTTAACACACTACTGTTGCATGAGATGAACACATTGTCATGGGCAGTGGCGTGTGAGTTACATTTTTAGACATGTGGGCCACAAAAGAAAGACGGTGACATTTTTGTGGGTGTAAGCATACATCTTCATAATGTCAGTATTTCTGTTGTTTTTATTGTCCTGTAATTCTCAGTGCTGATTTTGTATCTAGAGAGCTATAGTAATTTACATTTTCCAAAACGTCCTGATTTAGGACAGGCCAAGCTATCATGTTTGACTGATTGGTTTCAACTTACTAGGTTAGGGACCCCCAAAACAGCTCTAATTGATTAGCCTAATGTGCTCAAAATGACAGCTCACCAAGGTTGATACAACTGCACCCTTTTCCAGATAAGGAAACTGAGCCTTACGGAGGTTAGGCGACTTGCCCAAAGTCACACTGTCCATTCTAGTTTCAGAGCTAAAAAGCTCTGAAAAAAAAAAAGCTTTAGGTTTTGTTCTCTGCCCTAACCAAGATCAACTGTGTATAATTTTTCTTTATAATTAAAGATAACATGACTGGCAATGATTACTGTCTTTGTGTGTATACTGAGACAGATAACCAGCACGTGACTGCTAAATGGGCAGCACAGTTAGACAAGAATAAAAAAGCAAAGGACAAACAGTTTTTACCAATAATTTTCATTGCCAGATAATAAAAATGAATCTTTTTCTTCACTTTATATTTGTTGTGGCTTGGACATCAAGTGTTGCCAAAAAAGGTCCCCTGCTGGTGGTGTATGAAGAGGCGGTTGGAGTCTGAGGATGCTGACTTCATCATAACCTATTGATGAGTTTATAGATGAAAAGCCCATAGGAGGTGGGGCCTTGTTGGAGGAAGCAGGTCTCAGGGCTTGCTTTTGAAGGGTATATTCTGGACTCCCAGACCCTTATCTCTTGCTCCCTCTGCTTCATGGCCTCTGTGAAGTAAGCTGCCTTGCTTCTCCACATGCTCTCTGCCATGATATTCTGCCTTGACAGCAGTCCACAACAATGATGACAAGTGATCATACAATGAAACCATGACCCAAAGAAACCTTTCCTCCCTTAAGTCGTTTTCTCGGGTGTTTTTTCATAGTGATGAAAGGTGACTAACACAATATTGCCTACGTCACAGGTACTTCAAAGGACCCAAGTTACAAAGTATAAAGAAACAAAATCAACAATATTCCACAGTGCTCCCTGGCATGTGGGAGAAGAGTAGACACTGTATTACAGACAGCCTTATTGCACAAGGGCGATACTGTTCAAATGCATTTTCTCTTCTATTCTATCTAGGCTCAGTAGCAGATTCTTAAGTAAGGATCTGCCCAGTGGTGACACTGCTGTTTAATGCCCTTAGTATTTAAAGATCTGTTTCACTTGGATGGTTTATAATCTTTCTTCTTTTAATTTTCTGTGGAACCTGTAGACTAAGGCATCTCGTCTAGCACTCGATTAGTTAATGTTTTATGCAACACAACACACAAGCTTGATTTACACCCAAAGAAATGTAAACTTAACCCTCTCACAAGCTCCTTCAGGGACAGACACCATGGATAGCTTCCACATCTTTTTATCACTTGATTGACATTTTGTTTTTTAAACTTGATTTTAAAAACTGTGAGATGAGTGTATTATTTATTAGGTTTTTTTTGTGGTACTGAGGTTTGAACTCAGGGCCTCACAATTTCTAGGCAGGCATTCTACCACTTGAGCCACTCCAGCAGCCCGAGTATATTATTTATTATAAAAACTAAATAACAAAAAAAAAAGTGTATAAAGATAAAGAAGTCCCACTTTACCCTTCCCCTACCCATAATCCTGAGAGCTAATCACTCGCTAGAGTTTTCCATGCATCCTTTCAGGGTTTTGCTAAATATATAAACCATAAAAAGCTTACAAAGCGTACCCTAATATTGTTCTAAAACTTTCTTTAAAAGCAAAAGCGAAAAACAAAAAACCTAGGCTGGGCTCAGTGGCTCATGCCTATAATCTTAGCTGCTCAGGAGGTAAAGACTGGGAGAAGCACAATTCAAGGCCAGCCCCAGCAAAAAGTTAGTAAGAGCCCATCTCAACCAATGAGAAGTTGGGCTTGGTGGTGCACACCTGTCATTCTGGCTATGTGGGAAGAGTACATACAGAGGATTGCTGGCTTGGGTGGCCCAGGCACAGAAGTGAGGTCTTATTTGAAAAATAAGAAAACAAACAAGGGCTGAGATGTGACTCAGGTGGCAGAGTGGCTTCCCTAGCAAGTGCTGAGTTCAAACCCTACTATCACCCTCCCAAAAAACCCCTTAACTACTGCAAGTCTTATTTAAACATTCTATAAAATATTTTTTCTTGTTTTCAAGTTGCAATTCTGTATAAATTGTGTATTAACTTGCTGGATTTAAAAATTTTGAATTCTTGAAGTATAACACAATTCTGACACTATTCTGATATCATCTAAAATAAAAACTCAAGGTGGGTATGCATGCATTTTATTTTGAAGGTACTGGGGTTTGAACTTAGGGCTTCATGCTTGCTAAGCTCTACTATAATGATGTTTTTGTAAAATCACCATACATACTAGTTGGCATGCACACACTAATTTCTTACTTAAAAATAGGCATACCTGAGTAGAAATAGCTGCCACTTTAATTCTGGCTGTTTCATGAAGGTAATGCCACTATTTTAGCTGCTAATTAATCATGTTTTTAAATTGGCAGACAGTTTGAAGATATTCAAATATTCCTCATATAAATTATAAAAATAAATGAGATCAAGGAAACTTTTTTGGACTGAGGGCATGGCTCAAGTGGTATAGCACTGCCAAGTAAGCAAAGGTCCTGAGTTCAAACATGCAGTAGAGAGACCCGACCAGTTTGTACACCAGGAGACTGGATTTGCTAATTCTGCATTCTGTGAAATCAGATTAGAAATTAGGTGAAATGTTTTTGCGTAGGTGTTAAATAGGCATTGGTTAAATTGAATTCTCTCTCAAATGAACTTACATTTTAGAATTAAATGAGAGTAGGTAAGGACACTTTTGCGTTACCTGTCATGCCTCAAGATAGGTGTAGGCAGCACGTTTGTCAGAAGCCATCCAAATTCAGCCAACGTGTGCAGCAGAGGGCCGTAATCCGTTTTGATTTCACAGCCCTGCATGAACAAGCGTGGCAAAGTCAAGCAGTTACACAAGTAATTAGGATAAGGGGCCATGGGTATTATGATACAGGGAGTCCAGTGTCATGGGGCTGCAGCTTTCCTAGCTCCATTTTCCGCACTGCTGCTTTCTAACCTTGAGCCAAGCTAGAAACACTGTGAGTGGGGAGGTGAGTTTGGGCTTTCTTTGGTCTTGTTAGAGAAGTGGCTCTAAAATTTTAATGTGTGGGAGCTGGGAATCAACATTAAAAAAACAAATTGGCTGTGGGTATGGCTTGTGTGCCCTAAGTTCAAACCCCAGTACCACAAAAAAAAAAAACACCAAAAAAAACAAAAAAACAAACTTTATCAAGCACACTTTCCTTAAAACACTGGTCTAGGTGGTGGGAAGGGTAGACAAGAATGGGAGTGAGGCTATAACCCCATTTACTTGGGAGGTAGAGATCGGGAGGATGGAGGTTCCAGACCAGCCAAAGCAAAACGTTAACAAGATCCCATTTCATCAAAAAAGCTGGTACATGCCTGTCATTCCAGCTATGCGGAAAGCATAAATAGAATTGAGGTCCAGATACAAAATCTATGAAATCCTATATGAAAAACAACGAAAGCAAAAAAGTCTGGGGACACGGCTCAAGTGGTAGAGAGCCACCTGGCAAGCGTGAGGTCTTGAGTTCAAAGAGTGGTGAGTGAGGAATGGGCAGTGGAGGTGAGAGAAGCTTGGGGATGGGAGTCTTCTCACTGCTTTTAACTCATTTGGAATTTGTTTTTACTTGGAGATTTACTTTTTCCTTCAAATCCCTTCCCTCAGCCTTTGTAAGACCAGACAGGCAAAAGCATCTTCACAGGAGTGGGTGCAAGAGAGTCGCATACACACGAGTGTCCCTGAATTTAGCCTGTCACCTCAAGGGCAGTCCACTTGGTGACATCTGAATTAAGAGTGCACAGCACCAGCAGCAATATCACCTCTGAGTTGAAGGACAGTACTGTGTGTACGTACTGGCCTGATTAGAGAGAGAACACATTTTGGATATTCTTGCCTTTGAAAGTCAATTCATAAGGTTAAAAAAAAGTCAGTCATGTTGATTGCTTAGAGGTAAAACACTAGTTGAGTGACTGAATTTTCTTTCTTGTTTTTTTAATTTTTAAGCAGTTGTCATGGCATTTTGTAGCAAGCATCTCAGTGCCATTAGATCAAGGGCAAACACAACAAGGGGATTGGACTATGAGCACATGATAAAAGCGAGAGCACACAAGGGAGGGGTGAGGATAGGTAAGACACCTAAAAAACTAGCTAGCATTTGTTGCCCTTAATGCAGAGAAACTAAAGCAGATACCTTAAAAGCAACTGAGGCCAATAGGAGAAGGGGACCAGGAACTAGAGAAAAGGTTAGATCAAAAAGAATTAACCTAGAAGGTAACACCCATGCACAGAAATCAATGTGAGTCAATGCCCTGTATAGCTATCCTTATCTCAACCAGCAAAACCCCTTGTTCCTTCTTATTATTGCTTATACTCTCTCTACAACAAAATTAGAAATAAGGGCAAAATAGTTTCTGCTGGGTATTGGGTGGGGGAGAGGGAGGGGGTGGAGTGGGTGGTAAGGGAGGGGGTGGGGGCAGGGGGGAGAAATGAACCAAGCCTTGTATACACATATGAATAATAAAAGAAAAATGAAAAAAAATAGGAATATGATGTCCCTTTTAAAAAAAAAGAATTTCAAATTTTGGGGAACTTACTGATACTTATGTAGAGATAATTATCTTGTTGTTTTACAAAAAACTTTAACATTGGGCAAAGCATATTGTAGTTTGGTGATGCATTTGTGATGAGATGCTGTGTTTGACAATACTGTGCGTGCCAGGCAATGGAAATCTTTAATGTGTGAAACTAAATATAAAAGTAAAGCTAACTTGTCAGGAGACTGCAGCTCACCTCAATGACTGTCCATTGTTCTACTACAATGGTGTCATTTCCTTTCCTGTTAGAACCTGGAACTCCAGAACCTTCCTCTTCATAGATAAAAAATCCTTCCAAAGATTTAGGCAAATGGTCCCCTGTGGGGAAAAAGATACAATTAAGAAAAGTTTCTAATCATCTGAATCCTTAAAATAATCTTCATAGGAAGCTAAAAGAAAAACATATCAATTAAAAATGTCTGTTTTGAGCTGGGAATGGAGCTCAGCGGTACAGGCCTTGTTGCCTAGCATGCCCACAGTCCCTGGTCAATCCCCAGTGCCATAAAACAAAACAAAACATTGTTTTGGCTGAATCAGTAAAACCCTCCTCCTCTTTGATGGCTTCCTTACCCTTCACAAAGGTAAAAACAGTTTTATACTTCATTGAATTAAAATTGAACCATATACGTGAAAACTACCACAGCAGAAACAAGATTAAATAATATGATACTGCATGAAGAGAATGTAAAACCAACCTAGACAGCACCTGGAAATGATCTTTGAATTCAAATTTTGGTTTCTGATCTGTATGTTATGTGTACCTTAATTAATGATGTCATTAAGAGAAATGAAAATGAAAAGATAATCTTTGAAATTAGAGGTATGATATTAGAGTGAGGTAAGATCTTTTAAAAATATGGACATAGAACAATTCTTTATCTCAGTGATACATTAAAAAACCCCAAAATCCCCCCAAAATAAACAGTGACAGGAAGACCCTAAACAGAAGTCATTGTCAAAAGAATTCCTGCTGGGAAGGAAGTCTTAAGGGAGGGCCTCTCTGATTTTTCTTGAATAGTTGACAATATCCATCTGGCCTAATCTAAACTGATTTCATGGAACTTCTTTTGTCTCCTACTTTGCAATAGAAGACATTTTTCCCATGGTCACGTGCTGTTTTATGAAGCACATGTTATTATGTCACATCAAAGTTTCCCTGATGGACAGTTTTCTAAATAATAAAGGCCTTCAAGTTTTCAAATGATATTTTAAGCTAAAGATTACAAAGACAAAACTAATTTCAATGAAATTTTCAGCTTTGTTACAGGCTGTGAAATTTTTGAGCAAATCATCCTTTTTTCTAATACCACATATGTTTAGGGCAGAACTCCACAGAGAGTTCATGTTTTTTGGAGTGTTTCCCAAGGACACAGTGAAGTTCAATTTCTTAGTTGGAACTGGTTTTCTATTTAGTATGTGTTCCATTTCCTTTAAATGTACTTATCCTGTGAAATCCCAGGAATCAAATATGGTCATCTTGAAACTATATATTTCAAGTCCTTTTTTAGAACAGGGGTATGAGTTTTAAAAATAATTACATACTGCAACAATTAAGTAGTTAATTACAAACTGCCATTTATTTCCTTTAGGATTATATAATATGAAAACCACAGGCCTTGTGGCTCTCTGTCTATTTTCTTGTGGTAATATGTGGATACAGTAGTACTTCTAAACTGTTTAGAAGTACTGGTTTAAAAGAAAGTGTGACCGATTCATACAATGCAATACTACACAGGAACAAAGGAGGCTCAACTGCTATGTAATAACATGGATGACTCTCAGAGATAATGTGCTGAGCAAAATACACCAGTTACAACAGAGCCTGTTATAGACTTCGACCTGTGAAGGTCAAGTACAGACACAACCCATCTATGGCGAGGAACAGGCAGTGCTTATCTCAGAGTTGGGAGGATATTGACTCTGAAGGGTATGGGAGGCTGTCTGGGCTCCTAGAAGTGTTCTGAATCTTGAGTAATTGTGATCTCCTCAACTGTACACACAAGGCAAATGCACTTTACCGTGTGCGTGATGTACTGCAGTTAAAACAAAAGTTTTAGAGTTTCTCAGGGCCCCTTGCTGGCTCTCTGGCCCATACCCGGCCCCAGAGCCACTGAAGTCTGACACTTCCCAGGAAGGCATTTTCATCTCTTGAGACATTCTCTCAACACAAATGGCAACGAGGGAGGGTGGCAGGAAAGCCCTTGTGGGAAGTGACCATTTGGTTGCTCAGAGTGTTAAATCTTCTGGAAAATGAAGTGATTATTCTGACCATTATCTAGTAACTGTCTCCCCTCCCCCCAGCAGAGTCATTTGTTAACACTGCAAAATCCAGAACTTCCGAGCCAATGTGCCTTGGCCCACCTGTGTGTGAGTTCAGGTTGTAAGTGGGCCAAGACACAGGGCACTCCCTCCTGCCTATAACGCAGACCTATAACAGTTGCACTTTCTGTGTGCACGGTGTATAAAAGTTATAAAACACTGGGTTGACTAACTGCTTTTCAAAACTTTTTAAAAAACTCAATATCACCACTAGTAAAGTGCACTTGTATCCTTGAAGGATGATCCCCAGGTAGAGACTGAAGTGATTTTTGGCAAGTATGTAGTTTCTTTTTTTACCCTTTTGTTTGGTCAATACTGGGATTTGAACTCAGGGCCTCACACTTGCAAGGCAGGCACTCCATCACTTGAGCTACATCACCAGCCCAAGCATGTGATTTCTTTAAAGTCTAATGCTCTGTCCTAAAAATCCATGCAAACTTTGCATTCCTTTCAAATGCATTCTTAGTAGGTATACTGACACATTCCTGTAATCCCAGTTATTTGTGAGGCTGAGGCAGAGAATCATAAGTTCAAGGTCATATTGGGCAATTTAGCAACATCCAAAATAAAGTCTAAAAAAAGTCTAAAAATGAAGTTAAAAAAAAAAGGTCTCAATGGCAGGGTGCTTGCTTAGCATGGGCAGGACCCTAGGTTCAATCCCCAGTACTGCAAAAACAAACAAAAACAAAAATATTCATCTTATCTAAAAAAGCAATGTTCTCTTCCACCCCTTCCCAATCTTAAAGTAATACTGACATTCTAGGAAGAGGTTTATCCTGTGAAGTTGGTGCAAGGCTGCATATACTGAAGGTACTTGAACCCTGGTTCAAAGAGCACACGCTTAAAGGATTCCTGGGGAGTGGTTATTTGTCGGCACCTGTGATCTTGACCATTAATTTGATATAGATATGACATTGACATTACTGTAAATGTGAGGAAAGGTAACACTCCACTTGGGCACTCTTGGTCCTTATGTCATTTTTGTTATTACTGCCTGGGGCTTACCCAAGACCCTCTGTGAAGGGTGGGGCAGGGGAACAGGCATGTATGTAATGTCACTCTGCATCTCTATCATGTATGTACATCCTTTCTCAAAATGAGTCTCGGCCTGTCTCCTTCTCTCCATCTTCATACCATCATCTCTCTAGGGACCACGGGACAGTCTGTTAACAGCCTCCCTACTTCCACTCTTGCCTTGTATGATCAAGCTCCACGAATGGGTTGAAGAGATGTTTTTGAAAATGCAAATCAGATCACAACTCCCTTTTTAAATCTTCAACAAATGAACTGAAACAACTATTCCGGCATGGCTGTTAAAAGCACATACTCTACGTAGGTAGCCCCACCACTTTCTGGTTGTGCAAACATGGGGACGTTATTTAATATCTATGTGCTTTAATTTCCTCATATGTAAAAGGAGAACAATCATACCCACCTCATAAAGTTGGTATGGGCTCAGATGAGTTTATTAGTGCACAGTGCTTAATACATGCTGGCAGATATCAAGCACAAGGTACACATTAGCTCTTGTCACTGCATCACAGCCTGCCACTTACCTCTCCCAACTTGTCTAGAGCCATACTCTCCCTCCCATCCCAGTTCCTCTTCCCTGCCCTTACAGTCTTTGTACATTTGGAGGTGTTTCTGTTGCCTAAGACAGTCTACTCCTGGTTCTTACATGCCAGCTCCTCCTAGCCTTTTAGTCTCAGTGTGATTGTTACCTTCTCAGACAGGATCTCCAGACCACACTTTCTAGTAGGTTTTTCCCTTGTACTCTTGCCCTAGTATACTGCTAGTCACAATATTTTTCTTAATTTTGGAATTAGATATATATGTTTGATACCTTCACAACCTGACTGCCTGATGCCACATGCTAGCTCCCTGACAGTAGCAAAGATGTACATTTGGCCACTACTGTGAACCCAGTGCCTGACATAGGCCTGGCACATATGTATACAGGAAATGAAAACATACACGTTTTAATGTCATTATTCCACCCCATTCCTCTGTGATACTTTGAAATGAACATCAAGTGAAGTCTAAAAAGAATTCAGAAATAATCAAAATGAGCCTTAAGATGTGGTGTACTGCCAGGCGCTGGAGGCTCACACCTGTAATCCTAGCTACTCAGGAGGCAGAGATCAGGAGGATCATGGCTCAAAGCCAGCACAGACAAATAGTTCTTTCGAGCCTATCTTGAGAAAAACCCTTCCCAAAAAAGGGCTGGTGGAGAGGCTCAAGGTGTAGGCTCTGAGTTCAAGTCCCAGTACTACAAAAAAAATGTGGTGTACTAAGGTGGGGAAAGACTGTGCTTGAAGATGATCGGGGACATTTGTAGGAACCTCAAGTGTGTGTATGTGTGTATGTGTGTGTTTGCGTCCCAGAGAGCATTCCAAAACAGAAAAGGCTATTGATAGTGAGTGTAAATGGACACTGCAGAGGAATTTCACAGATCTTACAATGTTTATATCATGACCCTGTCAACGTAGGTAATTTTTAAACATTGTCTTCCTCTCCCTCTGTTTCCATGTGATTAGTGAGGTAATATATTTAAATTTCTGAGCAATGTCTGGTTTTGTATTTCTACTCCTCTTGATGGGCTGACTTGTGACAATATTTAGGATGAAGACAGAAGCAAGACAGAACAAAATACGCATTGTCTCCCCCTGGGCTTTAGATGTCAGGCATCAAACGTCCTAACAAAGCCTCTGATTCAGCCCTGCTTCCTTTGACTTGCTTCTCACAGTGATACAGACATTGGTCACAATTTCCCCTCTACAGCTTCCCCGCTACTCCCAGGAAAGTCCCAAATGACAGGCCCAAGGGCCAGACCCCACAGACTGAGGTGGCTCAGGAGAGTCTTGGCATAGCCTGCAATGTAAAATGTCTAATGAGACATTCCAGAGCTGCTGAGAGAGGGAGAGTCTCCAGGGCCTGCTAAGTACTCTAAGGCAGGAAGAACAAAAGCTCCACCGTCTCTGGCTGGCAACTGCTGTGGCTAATTTTAGTTTCATCAGGCAAGGCTCAAAGCAAGAATGCCTGAGAGAGGTTATAAAAAGAGCATTTTTGTTTTTCCTTAGGCAGTTCATCACAAATGAAAATGTGAAATGGATCCAACTTAAGAGGGGACGGGGGAGGGAGGAAGGGAGAGAGAGAGAGAGAGAGAGAGAGAGAGAGAGAGAGAGAGAGAGAGAGAGAGAGAGAGAGAGAGAAAATCTCCAAATAGCTGATCCTTAGTAAAAGTACTAAGCTGCACCTAAAAAGTGGCAGGAAAAGAATACCAGAAAATAACCTCCCTGCTTCAGCCTAGGTGTGGTGAGAGTCACTTGCTCTCTATTATATCTTATTAATTTCTCATAATAATGAAGAATACTTTTATGCCCTTTTAGGAAACTGAGACTCTGTGAGCTTAACCAATTTCCCAAAATTACAGAGTTAATAAGTTGAAGAAAGAGCATTTAAACTCTGGTCTGTCAAATTTTAAAGCCCATTTTCTTCCCATTAAAACTTCCATGTAAGACTGAGATGGGAAAAGTTTCCAATAACCCCAAAATACTAAGAAATATTTATGGAGCTCCTGTTATGTACCAAACACCATGCAAGGAGCTGTGTTTCTAGGTGCTCCAATGGATTTGTCCTTAACCTTGTTGCTAGTTAAAAGGACCTACTGGAACATGACTTCCATTCATTTGAAGTATTCATTCTCACTTCCTCAACTTTCTGATGCATTTTTTTCTAGTTTCCTTACTATTTTTTCCTTTTCCTTTCCTCCTCCCTCCCTCTCCTCTCTTTTGCTTTTTTTTTTTTTGTTGTTGTTGTTGTTTGTGTGTTTGAGACAGGGTTTTGCTGTGTAGCCCAGGCTGGCTTTGAACTTGTGATTCTCCTGCTTCAGCCTCCCAAGTGCTGGGATTACAGACATGAACCACCATGCCTAGCTTTTTTTTTTTTTTTTTAAATACTAATCTCTCTTAAAGTCATTTTTGGGAAGTGTTTTGTTGTTTGTTTTTGTGACAGTCAGGGATGATTATATACTTCATTTGAAAAATGCTGGTGAGAGATAAAGGACAAAAAGAATAGAAGAACAGGGTTAACCATCACTTTCTGAACCAAGGTTCACTTTTCTATACAAATTATAGGGTCAGGTATATGCTAGTTATATAAATGGTAGGTAACATTCAAAATTGGATGTTATTATAATGAAATAAATGTGGATATAACTGTAAAACATTATCATAAGCTTTCTGATTGGGATGTTATAGTACATTGTATTTGGAAAATCTACTTGTCAACCCCAAAGTATCTATCTGTGATAGTTCCAACCCAACAGCAAACATTACGTAACAATTCTAGTACCTACACTGGTATCCATTTGATTTCAAGGATGATTAAGTTTTAAGTTAAAGCTACACAGCTGTGTAACAAGTAGAATCTATTTTCTTAGGAATAATATCTGTCCTTCCAGTCATAGCAATTGAGAAGCAAAAACATTTTTACCAACTTTAATGCAAGTTCAAATTCTGTAGATATAAATATATCACTAATATACAACTTACCTTTAGGTGCTTCCCAGCATACAAAAGAATCAATTAAAGACAAGCCTTGCTTATAATAAAATGTTGTTAATTCTAGCCAATCAGCATCTAGTGTACTGATGATGGATCCTTTTCTTGTTACTTTCATGGACAGGATGCCTTCCTGATAGGTCCAGCAGCTTGAATCATCATCGAAAACATTGAAGACTGTATACAATTTGTTATCTGGGGATAGGCATTCAGAAGGAGGACAAAGGGGAAAATTATAATTTTACTGATCAAAATTCTTAAAATCATTTAAAATTAATCATGAGGTATTTCAAACACTCAAGCAAGTGCAGAGAATAATAAAATTACTTTCCACTCAGTTTAATCAAATGTTAACATTATGCCATGCAAGTTTCAGACTACTTTTTCACAGAAATGAAACAGGATACAGTTGAACCTACTATGTAGCATGTGTGTAGTAGGATGTAGCAGGCCCTGCTTCCATTCTCCAGAAATGATAATTATTATAAATAATAATGAATTTGGTGCTTACCATTCTCATGAGATCTTTAATTCTTTGAATACACATATATACCCATATATGAGACATAATGGTTTGAAATTTCACAATTTTAAGTGGTATCATACTGTTAAATATTAATCTATAAATTGATTTTTTAATTCAACATTACACCTTTGAAATGTAAATAGCTATCTAGGCCTTATTTATTTAACTGCTACATAGTATTCCAGTAAATTATTCTCCTTTTGATGGACACATACATTGTTTCCATTTTTTTGTTTTTACAAATGTTTTTCTTCTCCCATGTGTGAGAGTGACTAGCATACATATTTAGACATGGAAATGCTGGATCATGTCTTCTACTGTAGAAAATGGCAAACTTTTTTTTTTTTTGGCAGTGCTAGGGTTTGAACTCAGGAAATTATTCTTGCCATGTAGGCATTCTATCTCTTGAGTCACTCTGCCAGCTCTTTTTGTGATGGGTTTTTTTGAGATAGGGTCTATGAACTATTTGCCTGGGCTGGCCTTGAACCTTGGTCCTCCTGATCTCTGCCTTCTGAGTATTCAGGATTAAAGGTGTGAACCACCAGAGCCCAGCAAAATGGCAAATGCTTAACTTGGGGCCTAGGGATCCATGCTAACGGTTGTGTTTTAGGAAGTTTATCCTCACTTGCATTTCAGACAAAAGTATTTGGGTTAATGAATTTCACCAGATACTCCAAGAGATCTTCTATACATTCCCATGACTCCTTTCCCCTCCCCTATTTAAGAGTTACTACTATAAAATAGTTATTAGGAAGAATATAATTAAATTAAGTAGTATATTGGATTCAGGACTTAAAGGACTAGAAATAGACACAAGAGCCGATGAAACTTGGGGTGGGAACCAGCATGGAGTTTAGAGATAGCTGTGGTTGGAAGATAGAGACTGGTTCTCTGATCACAGCTCCAGCAATTCTTGCTCTCTTTACATTTCACATTGGAGGAGAATCAGAGTGGTCTTTAGTCAGGGAACTGGGATGAAAGGGGAATGTGGAGGTGGGAATGGGCAGGATGAGTTGGGAATGCTCCCAGTTCTTTCTTCAGGAGATTGTGTTCATGTGGTCAAATGGATCTCTGCCATACACAGGCTGTTGAGCACATCTCTTCACACCCCAGAAAGGCTATGACTCCACCTATACTCCTCCAGTGCCAACACCACTCAAAGGCTCAGTTAATAGCAGTTAGCTCACTAGACTTTATTTTGTGCCAGGCACTGGGGCTAAGCACTGTGTAGACATCTCTTGTCCACTTCTCATAACAACCCTATGAGGGAGGTCCTACAATTACCCCCTTTTTATGAAGAAATTGAGGCATCTGATTCCAGAGCCCATGCTGTTAACTTGAAGGTATACACAGATTTTGATTTTCTTTGAAAGTACTTTTTAAAAGCAGGCACGTAAAGGTATCAGAAAACTGACTAAACAAGAATAAAATATTCGCAAGTTCTTGGGAAAACTTGCTAGTTGGCAAAGAAGAACAAAACTATTGTTTAAAGTTATTTTAGCTGCAGGCACTATTGTTGTAATAATGATTTCATCATGGTGTGCCATTTTCACATTGTAGTTGAAGATCAAAGAAAGTCAATTAATTTCAAAAGTGAAAATCATCCATGAAATGGGAAAGGCTAACTCTAAAATTCTCACACACTTTATAAGGATAAATACAGATTTTTCTTTGTAGATTCACTTCTTTGGGCACATGTACAACACTCCATTTTAGAAGGGAGTCTTGAATGACTATGTGGGAGCCAATCTTCCACCAAAGTTTCTTTATGTGGATGGCACTGTATAACCCATTAGGGAGAACTATGGTCTGATACACCATCTTACATTAATTTGGGCTATACTAATTAAAAAAATCATGACAAGTTTACATTAGTTCATTAAGTCTTTATAATCTTTAGAAATTTACTTTGCTTCATATTTCTTTTTAAAAACCTCAAAAAATGGGCTGGGCACAGTGGTTCACACCAACCACAGCTGCTTGGGAGGCAGAAATCAGGAGGATAACAGTTCAAGACCAGCCTGGGCAAAAAGTTAACTAGACTCTCATCTTGACAGAACAGCTGGGCATGGTGGTATGCCCCTGTCATCCCAGTTATGTGGGGAGCATAAGTAGGAGGACCAAGGTTCAGGCCAGCCTGGGCAGAAAAATGTGAGGCCTTATATGAAAAATAACTGAAGCAGAAAGCTCTGGGGGGATGGCTCAAGTGGTAGAGCACTTGCCTAGTAAACATGAGTTCAAACTTTTGTACTCCCAAGGGGGAAAAAAAGAAACCCTCAAAAACGTATTTTGCTAAACTCAGAGAAGAACATATTCTCAGCCCAGCGCCGGTGGCTCACGCCTCTCCCTCTAGCCACTCAAGAGGCAGAGATCAGGAGGCTCACAGTTTGAAGCCAGCCTGGGCATATAGCCCTCAATATCCTATCTCGAAAAAACCCTTCACAAAAAAAGGACTGGTGGAGTGGCTCAAGGTGTAGGCTGAGTTCAAACCCCAGTACAGCAAAAAAAAAAGAAAAGAATATCTTCTCTTTCTACTCGCCTTGCCTATTGCTGTCTTCCTTTTTGGGGGGAGGGGAGCTGGGGCTGGCACCGCGGTCCATTTGGCACTGTCTGCTCTCCTGGTGCAGTTCGTCCTCTATTCCGCTTTCAGATGACCGCCCGCTCAATGTCCCTTCATTCCAGCTCCTGCAGTTTTCATCTGAGCTGTGTTTCACGTGCAGCCCCGATTCTGTATCTTCATCGTGGCTGATCCCATTACAGCGTTTAGATGGTGGATAATGCTGTGATATGAATCCAACAAATTTCATTCCTCTTGTAGCAGCAACATTAATCTGAGGTTTAAAAAGAGACAACAGAACTAAATGTTATCTCTACTTACATTGGCTACTTCATTAACTAGCCTTTAGTTTACTGAGGAAATCCATTAGAAGATGGAGTAAATTGCCAGTAGTTAAAGACACATTCATAAACGAATTAATAACCTCTAAAATAGCACCACTACTTTAGGGTATGCCACACTACCGTCATGACTTGTCAAACAAAACTAGTATGTTTTAGAAACTATAAAAACAGGAACTATATTTTTTTTCTTGAAAGGGAACATTTGGGAAGAATTAGTAATTTTACATATGATGTTTGGAGACCATGAAACAGTAATCTTTCCAGTTGGAATAAAATTAAAATCTATTTCAGAATTTTCCCAAAACGGTATTAACAAACACATCTTCATTATTAAAGAAGACATTAATTTATTTATTTTATTTAAAAAAAATTTTTTTTCTTTTATTATTCATATGTGCATACAAGGCTTGGTTCATTTCTCCCCCCTGCCCCCACCCCCTCCCTTACCACCCACTCCGCCCCCTCCCTCTCCCCCCCACCCCCTCAATACCCAGCAGAAACTATTTTGCCCTTATTTCTAATTTTGTTGTAGAGAGAGTATAAGCAATAATAGGAAGGAACAAGGGTTTTTGCTGGTTGAGATAAGGATAGCTATACAGGGCATTGACTCACATTGATTTCCTGTGCATGGGTGTTACTTTCTAGGTTCATTCTTTTTGATCTCACCTTTTCTCTAGTTCCTGGTCCTCTTTTCCTATTGGCCTCAGTTGCTTTTAAGGTATCTGCTTTAGTTTCTCTGCGTTAAGGGCAACAAATGCTAGCTAGTTTTTTAGGTGTCTTACCTATCCTCACCCCTCCCTTGTGTGCTAAAGCTTTTATCATGTGCTCATAGTCCAATCCCATTGTTGTGTTTGCCCTTGATCTAATGTCCACAAATGAGGGAGAACATACGATTTTTGGTCTTTTGGGCCAGGCTAACCTCACTCAGAATGATGTTCTCCAATTCCATCCATTTACCAGCGAATGATAACATTTCGTTAAGAAGACATTAATTTAAAAGCAAAAACCACACAGCATTGTTTGTTGTTGATGAAGAAAAATGTTAACGTACTAGTTCTTGTAAATGTGTACATACAGAAGATGATTTGTAGCCCAAGTCAGCTAAGCCTTCTGATCTGCTTATAGTGTATCTTGATACTATGGTCTCCTGGGCCAAATACACATAATTAGATTCAATACAAACAAGTAAAGGACAAAATTCTGAAACAGATGACATATGCAAGCAAAATGATTTGAGGTCTTGAGATCTTAAGAATGATTCTGTACTTTTTTTTTTAAAAAATGTTTTGGCTGTACTGGGGTTTGAACTCCGAGCCTCATGACTGCTAGGCTGGCACTGTATTGCTTGAGACATTCCCCCAGGTCATTATATTTTCATACTCAAGCCTTTCTGCATTGACATGTTTGTAAGACTTAGCTTTTGTCTTTGAATGAATTCTGTCAAAAGCCTAGGGTATTTTCTTCTCTGTTTTTCCTTCATTTCTTTAACATATTTGTATCTATGTCTTTCTCCTGTGTTCAATTGGCAGTTCTTTTTAGGCTGTATCTTATTTATCTCTGTATTGCAGTGCTTAGTATTATAGTATTTGTTAAATAAGTAAATATGAAGAAATAGCAATTTAAAAAATGTGATCACTGTTTTAAATATTTAAAGTAAACATTGAAAGTGTTACCTGGGAAGGCCAGAAACAGTTATGATGGAGGTTGCAAACAGAGACATCTATAGGTAGAATGAAATCTAATGAAAAAAACTGGGAAGGACTGGGCAAGATCAAGAGGATTGGCAAAAGGGGTCAATGTAACTTAACTCCAGCAGATGAGGCAGGAGAATTCTGAGGAGTGTGGGGAGCCATGAGACTTACGGCTGGCACGGCATCATTTGCTCCTAAAAGTTAGCATATTCAGATTGTAACAATGCATGAGCACTTAAAAATAGCCACAAACTTTCCCCTTTGTCAGGTGTCCTAGGAGAGAATTAGAAGGAGATGTAAGGGGGCATAGCATTCTGCAGGTGAGAATGGTGGATTTATTGTCAGCTTCCCCTAGGTTTGAACCTAGGGCCTAATGCTTGGTAGGCAGGAGCTCTACCAGTTGACCCACTGTTTATGTTGGATTTTTTTTTACTACCAGCCCTGTTACGTTGGATAGTTTTTGAGAAAGGGTCTTGCAAACTGTTTTCCCAGGCTGGCTTCAAACTGCAATCCTCCTGATTGCTGCCTCCTGAGTAGATAGGATTACAGGCATGAGCCACAGATGCCTAGCTATTAGTGCCTTTTTTAGGTCTTGTTAGTTAATTTGAGTTAAAAAACACAGAAAGGTTTTTGTTTTGTAAATTTTATTTTTTGTCTTTTCTGTGGGACTGGGACTTGAACTCGGGCCTTCCCATTTACAAAGCAGGTGCTCTACCACTTGAGCCACACCTCCAGTCCATTTTGCTCTGGTTATTATGCAGATGGGGTTTTGTGAACTACTCGACCAGGATGGCCTCAGAAAGTGTTTTTTAATTTTTTTATTAGAATACTTGATCTGGAAAGATCTGATAACAAATATGGAATTAATGTCTTTTCCATTTTAAGTTGGAGGATTGATATTTTTAAATGTTATTTTTATTTAAAAATCCTGAGGGGAAAAAAGCACTTGCAAATGTAATTTAAAAATAGAGTAGACATTGGTATAATGTTAAAACCTGACTTTAAAAGGTAGCTATTCAACAATTAGCTGTTACACAAGGCAGACGTTCAAAAATAGTATTTGGCACTCACCTATTGCTTTTGTTCATACCTGGGGCTATGTTCAAATATTTCACATGTTATGTTTCCTGAAGTTTTTCCCTTCATGAAATAATCCCATTACTCTAATTGCTGAAATAACAGTACTTTCCTGTTTAAGCAGATCTTTAACTGTGTCCAGGAAGTCAAATGCAAAATAAGGACTCAGATGGTGATCTATTAAAGCTAAATTAGCTGCATTTGTTTTCAAAAGAAGCTGTCTGGAGTGGATTCATTGCCAGAAAAAATTTCCCAGAATAGTAATCGTGAACAGTATGTGTACTTTATGTACAAAAATCTAGTTTCAAAGGCCATTCCTAAAAGCCATAGTTAAATGGTGACTTTATACTGCAATGGGAAATAACAGCAGCCATAATTGGCTATACAAAACCCACGGAGAATCTTATACACATGCTATTTAAAGTTTGGGAGCAACATCAGAACCAAGCAAACAAGTTTTACAATTTCCTTTTCTTTCTTTGTCTTTTTGGTGTGACTGGGGTCAGGGCTTTAAGCTTTCATGGCAGGCACTCTACTGCTTGAGCCATACCTCCAGTCCATTTTTGCTCTGATTCATTTTGGAGATGGGGTCTCTCAAACTATTTGCTAGGCTTGGTCTCGAACTTCAATCCTCCTGATCTCAGCCTCCCAAGTGGTAGGATTATAGGCATGAGTCATCAGCATGAAATTTTTATTTTATTTTATTTATTTTAATTAATTAATTAATTTTTCATACAGGGTCTCACTTTGTAGTCCAGGCTGCTCTTGAACTTGAGGTCCTCCTGCCTCAGCTTCTCTAGTGCTGGGGTTATAGGCATGGGCCACCATATTCTGCTCAAGTTTCATAGTTTCTTACATTAAAGGAATTGCGTAGGTTTTTGACTGTATGCATTTAAATAAAAGCTAAAAATTCTAAATATGTCAATGCAACTAAAAGAAAAAAACCTTCACCATAAACCCCATCAATTTAGAATATGTATCAATACACACCTTTTTATTTCTTTTAATCAGTCTATGTCTAGTGTTCAACTTTTCATTTAAGGTTCAATTAACTTACATTGTATAGGTTTGTCTATCATTTTTCTTTTGGTGGTACTGGCCTTACACTTGCTAGGCAGGCGTTCTACCAGTTGAGCTACTCCCACTTAGTCCTTTTTGCTTTAGTTATTTTTCAATTAGGGTCTCACGTTTCTGTCCAGGCTGCCCTGGACCAGGACCCTCCTATTACACTTCTTGAGTAGCTGGGTTGAGATGCGCAGGCCTGTTTATTGGGGTTGTGATGGGAGTCTAGCTGTCTGCCCAGGCTGGCCTTGAACTGGATCTTCTGATCTCTGTCTCCTGAGTAGGTAGGATAACAGAAGTGAGCCACTGCGCCTGGCAGACTTATTTATCTTTACAGTCAATTTAATTGTCATGTTCAATGCCAATTATTTGATCATATTAATACACTATTATCTCCTTTGAAGTCTTCTAGTTATTATTGGCTCATTAGTCTCTGTTCATTTCAAAATGACTTTTAACTTTTCAATAGACTCATAAAGAGAAGATTACTGGGTTACAAAATAAAACAGGACTTGTGATTCTTAGTACCAAATTGATATTCAGGAACAATGTAATCATTTATTATTATGACAGTTCAAATACAAATGTTAACTTTTCTTAAAGCTTTACTAACGCTGGTTTTAATAATTTCAATTTCACTTCCCAATTTAATACTGGTGAAGTTTAACTCCCAGTTTTTATTTACATTAAAAATTATTGACTAGGTTGATGCTAAATACCTCATCATTTGTTTCCTTTTGCATTTGCTATCCATTGACTCTGTCCATCTAAGACAGGACTCACTTTCATATCTTCATATTCGTTTCCTCTACATTCAGAAAATGAAGCTCTCATTTGTCGCAGTTTTCCCCTAATTTTTTAAGTCAAATTTTCTAGTACATGATTTATGTTTATATATTCAAACTCCTCAATCTATTCATAATTATATATGCTTATTTTTCTGTTTTCTTTCAGATTTTTTATATTTAAAAAGTAACCCCTTACCCCATCTGAAATGTGCAGAATCTATTTTCTGCAAACAATTGCCCACTTTCCCCAAAACATTTGTTAAGTAATGGTTGTTCTTCCATTTCTCTTATCAGGTTTGTCATTAAACTTCTTACATGTGATTAAATTCACTTCTGGTGTCTCTATCTATTTCACTGGTCTGTATTTATGTTTTAAAATCTGTCCAGTTTGGTACAAGCACTTCAGTACATTTTGAGTTCTCATATAATAGTCATCTATTGACTGGCAGAGTGGCTAAAGTGGTAGAACACCTGCTAGCAAGTGTGAGGCCTTGAGTTCAAACCCCAGAATGGCCCACACATACATAAAAAGTCATCTATTATTTCCCTATTCTTTTTAAAAATAAAAAGAAAACAGATAAAGAAGAAATACCAAATGTTTCTCAATATCCCATGAAAACCATTTATGCTTAGTACCTTTTCTATCAGTTCTTTTGCTATGTCGTTCGTTTGTGTCTCATAAATTAGAGGACACTCCTCAATCACAAGTCTTGGGCGTCTTTGTCCACTGGGTGCTGCCAAATGCTTTGGGCTGTAACAGAGAAAGTATGTTCACGGTTGGAGGCCAGCTACTGAATTTCAGCTAATATGTTCATGAGAGGAGTGACCAGCTCACTAGTAAGTCCAGGTAATCATTTTTTGTTAGTTGAAGGCTGATGGCTATTTTCTCACATAAAAATACAATTCCCGGTAACTACTGTTCACTTAGATTCTCTTAATTTAAGCTTCTAGCAATTCAATCTCTAATTTAAATAGAGAGAAAAGCTTCCTGTCTATTGTTTTAACACAAGTTATGACAGATGATTTTTGATTGCTATACTTCATTATTGTACAGAGGCACAGGTTGAGCTATTTGAATGCAGATGCAAGTTGCCTTGTCTTTCCCCTTGGTCTTTTTTCCTTGCCAATTCTTATTCAGGGTACTGGTAAGTCTATTTAAGTAATGCTAAAACCAGAAAGATAACATACTGATTGATGAGATTTGTAATTAGGACATATGTGTTACTATCATGTGAAAATGTCATGTTTATTTAGTAGTGCTTGTACTAGTGACTATCTGATGAGGTTCTGTATGGTGGCTAACACTGACACCTGTACACACCCTGTTAGATATGTATAATAGGCAATTACTAGTAGTAGACTGTACCACTTAAAAACACACCCAGAAATTTTTAAAGCCCTGTCTCTTTTCCCCCAATTTTCTTGTTTTCTTGCTCTCTTATTTCATTTTTCCTTACCCCTTTCATAGTTACAGTGATTGCTGTTGATCCATCACTATAAAGAGAAAGTAGTTTTTAGCCTGGTTTTTGCAATGGTTTTGATACAGCTGAGGAGCCATGTAAAATTTTTAATTTATTAATTTAAAACATGTTCTGGTTAGGTTAATTCTTCATGGGAAAGAGCAAAAGTATTTTACCATAAAAACAATCAAATTTGCAATGTAGGCAGACAAAAACGGTTTCAGTATTGTTTAGAAAAGTACCAACTAAAAACATTAAAAAAAATAAGGCTAGGCACTTGACTTTTGACAAAGGAGCACAAAACATGAGTTGGAGAAAAGGCAGCTTCTTCAACAGAAGCAACATAATTTCATTCTTCTTTATGGCTGAATAATACTCCATTGTGTATAGACACCACATTTTCTTGATCCAGTCATCAGTTGAAGGGCATCTGGGTTGTTTCCATAGCTTGGCTATTGTGAATAGTGCTGCAGTGAACATGGCTCTATTATGTGTTGGCTTACTTTCCTTCAGATATATGCCCAGGAGTGGTGTCACCAGATGGCAGTTTTGTTTTTAGTTTTTTGAAGAAACTCCATGCTGCTTTCCATAGTGGTTGCACTAACTTATGTTCCCACCAACAGTGAATAAGGGTTCTTTTCTCCCACATCCTCGCCAGCATTTGTTATTGTTTGTGTGTAGCCTTTCTGACAGGGGTGAGGTGGAATCTCAGTATCATTCTGATTTGTGTTTCCTTGATGGTCAAGGACATTGAGCATTTCATGTATTTATTGGCATTTGTACTTCTTTGAAAGTTATCTCTTCACTTCATTTGCCCATTTATTCATTGGGTTGTTGATTTTATATATATATATATATATATATATATATATATATAGATAGATAGAGAGAGAGAGAGAGAGAGAGAGAGAGACAGAGACAGAGACAGAGACAGAGAGAAAAAGAGACAGAGACAGCGAGAGGGAGAGGGAGAGAGAGGGAGAAAGAACATGGTTATATAGTAGGTTTGTCTGAGGGGACTACAGGGAGGTGGGAGGGGAAAAGAGAACGATGGAGAGAATAATATTGAATTGCAATGCATCTGTGTATGGCGATAGCATATCATGATACGCTGTAAACTGCTGAATATCAGGAGCAGAGTAATCGCGAAAGAGAAATAGAGGGGTTGGTTGATGTGATTAAAGCGCGGTATATACGCATCTGAAACACCAAGGCAAAGCCTCTTTGAACAATCAACATAAACTTAGAATATGAAGGACAGAAAGGTAAAACAAGTCCTGTTCTGAGGTGGGTACCAGTGGGAGGGGGCTTGTTAACAGAGATGGTGAAGGAGGACAAAGATGGTGGATGTATGAGACTAGAACACTGAAACTTGTTGAAATGGTTCTAAGGTGGGGAGGTGGAATGAGGAGGAAGGATGGAGGCGTGAATCTAATTGTAAGCACATATATTAATGTCACACTGTATCCTCCCTGTACAACTATTATATGCAAATAAAAGAAGAAAAAAATTTCTGTTCTAAAAAAAAAAATAAGGCTGGGATGTAGCCAGTGTAGAGTGCTCTGAGTTCAATCCCCCAGCACTGTTAAAAAAAAAAAAAAGAAAAAGGCTTTTAAATTCTTATTTTGCATGTTCTAGCCCTAGCTCCACTCCCTAACTATTTTGGGAAGAAGCTGACAAGAGGCCTATCCAACTTATGGAGAACTCAGCACAGGTCTTTCTGCTGTACAAGTTAGAGTGTAGGGACAGTTTTTGTTACCACTATGAATAAAACACAGGGCAGTCTGAAAAGCTTGGTGAAAGTGGACTACATATGTCCGGTCAGCACTACAACAGTGCTAGTGCTTTTGGCTGATGGCTATGACTTCAGTCGCTGTGGTTGCTACAGGAGCTTCTGGGTGCTTCTCTTTGGCCACTGACATCCTCACCTAGGACTGACTTGCCTGCAAGGAGCCAAAGGCAATTAGAGGTTTTTTTGTTCATTTGTTGTTGAGACAGGGTCACCCTACATAGCCCAGGCTGGCCTTAGAACTCATGATCCTCCTCCCGATTGCTGGGATTGAAGACATGGACAATTATGTCCCATTCAATCAGGAATTTTAAGGGAGGTAAAAATTTCCTTGCTTCAGATCAGTTTCAACTGCAGAAAATGTGCCTTTAACCCAACCCCAATTATCCTTTGTTTTCCATCACTTTTCAAAATTTCTTTTCTTAAAAAAAAAAAGAAAACTGTCACTCTTCACTGCCTCCTCGTCACTTGACTGTCTTCTTAGTGCCATGCTTACCTTAGTTTCAAGCGGTACAGCACCACCCTGTAAAGGTAACTTGCAGGCAGGTGTTTCCGCTGCCCCATAGGTTGTATGACTGGATGAATGGTTCCAACAATATATCCTTTAAGATAATAGTCTTCCACTTTTGTTACTATATCTAGAATTGAATTTATCTTGATCACTTCCGGGTTTGATGAAGCTGAAATATCAAAAATGAAGAGAAATTTGCATATTCTTCATTAAGTTATACATTCTTACTGTCTATGTGGGATAATATTAATGAATGGGAGAATAACCATATGGCTTAATCTCAAGTAAATTACACGAACATGTATTACATATTTACTAAACGTACCTCAGAAGAAACTAAAGGTGATCTTATGAACTGGTAGGTATATAGTATTACTAATATGTTTTTTTTTTTCCTTTCCTTTTTTCAGTGCTGGAGCTTAAACCTAAGGCCTTGTGCATGGTTGGCAAGTGCTCTACCAGTGAGCTATACCTGAGTCTTTGGTTTTTGAAATAGTGTCTTGATATGTAGCTCAAGCTGATTTCGAACTTGAGATCCTCCTGCCTCAGCCTCCCAAGTTCTGGGATTACAGGCAAGTGCCTCCATACTTGGGCTAACAATATGTCATAAAGCAGAAATACGAAGTCATATATATTATATACATATGTATATACAATTAAGCAGCTTTACTTTTTAAGGATTTTGTTTGAGTAATTCTGTTTCCACTAAAAGATATCAAAAGACATACATAAAGATAATAATTTGAATAGTAAATTTCTTATGACTCTGAACAAGCTGAGGATGCATAATTTCTTTCTTTCTTTTCTTTTTCTTGCAGTGCCAGGGTTTGAACTCAGGGCCTATACCTTGAATCACTCTACCAGCCTTGAAAGTTTTTTCAAGATAGGGTATCTCGAACTATTTGCCCAGCTGGCTTTGAACTGCAATCCACGTTGTCTCTGCCTCCTGAATAGCTAAGATTACAGGTGTGAGCCACAGGTGCCTGGCTGATTTCTTAAAAATATCCATATAAATCTAAAAACTTAAAGTGAGAATGTTCCAGTTTCCTATTTTCAATTAGTTTTCAAAGCATGTTTTAAGTTTCTCTGGAAAGCTAAAAGTATGTAATAACTTTTTCTTTTTAAGAATGTTTTTATCTTTTATTTTTTCGTTTATTCATATGTGCATACAATGTTTAGGTCATTTCTCCTCCCACTCCTCCCCTTTCTCCCCCACCTCCTCACTTCCAGGCAGAAACTGTTTTGCTCTTATCTCTAATTATGTTGAAGAGAGAGTATAAACAATAATAAGAAGGACAAAGCATTTTTCTAGTTGAGATAAGGATAGCTATACAGGGAGATTCCTCGCATTGCTTCCATGCACAAATGTGTTACGTTCTAAGTTAATTCTTCTCGAACTGATCTTTTCTCTAGTTCCTGATCCCTTCTCTTATTGGCCTCTGTTGCTTTAAAGTTTCTGCATTCGTTCCTTTGCATTGAGGACATCAAATACTATCATATTTTTTGGATTTCTTACCTATCCTCATACCTCCCTTGTGTGCACTCACTTTACCATGTGACCAAAGTCCAATTCCCTTTCTGAACTTGCCCTTGATCTAAAGCCCACATATGAAGGAGAACATTCGATTATTGGTCTTCTGAGCCTGGCTAACCTCGCTTAGGATGATGTTCTCCAGTTCCATCCATTGTAATAACTTTTTCATAAATAAAAGCTCTAAATGTAGATGAAATTTAAATGTACAATTGATTATGCAATTGAATCATCCCTTGAAGAAGGGCAAATCTATTGAAATTATAGAATAGCACTATTTGTGCAGACTAGAACAGTAAAAAGGGGAAAAGTCCTTTTTTTTGTTCTATCAGTATCAATTTTAATAACAAATTTATTTTCTACAATAGTATTTCTCATTCTATGGAGAACAATCAGGCCTAGTACTGTGGGTCAAGTGGTAGAGAGCCTGCTTAGCAAGCACAGAGAACTGACTTCAATACCCAGTACTGCAAAACCAAACCAAACCAAACAGAAAACAAACCATTTATGGAGAACAATCAAGGACTATTATCTAGAAATAGATCTGCAATTTGATTATCTCTTGAGTAGCAAAACATATGAAATGAATTTCAGACATGGGCTGGGTTGGCTGCTGGTCCGTTGGTATGGCCAGTGTAGTCCTGCAAAGCGTCGATGATTGACTGAACACAGGGAGGAAGTTAAGAAGCAGATGAGGAAGGAGGGTCAGAGGAAAGCCCCCACATCGGACAGAAATCACCGTCAATGGGTATTCAAGTCAGTTTCTCAAACTAAAATACAGAATTCAGCAAAAGGCACACAGCCTGGTGAACCCATTTCCTCTAGTTTTCATCCCTTTTTGGGTTTATACAAATATTCTACTTCTAATATACTTTCTTCATTGTTATGAATGGAAGTAGAGACAAAGAGAATGATCCTGGACTGTAAAGAAACAGCTGGGTTTCCATGTAAACATCCCAGTCCTGGCGTGGTTGTGCGACAGTCATTCCATGCATGATTCATTTAATGTTACTCTTTTTAGTATTTGAACAACCAATTCGAATTTTTAAACAAAGGAACTAAAAAACTATAAAATAAAATGGAACGAACTCCTAAGACTAAGGAATAAAATATAACTTATTTCTAGGACTATGTATTAATTTTACAAAAATTTAAAGAAAATTATAGTCTTTTAATGGATTACCTCACATACTATAAAAAGTTGCAAAGTTTTAGCATGATACAAAGGATTCTTCAGTTTGGCCTTGGCCTATATATTCAGACTTCACTCTTGTCATCCTGTCTCTTGTATTTCATGCCACTAGGCCTTCCTTTTCTTTCTTTCCTTTTTATTTGGGCAGTACTGGGGTTTGAACTCAGGGCCTTGGGCTTGCAAGGCAAGCTCTCCACCACTTGAACCACGCCTCTAGCTCTAGGTTTTCATTTTCTTCCCTGTTTTCCCAGGCTAAGTTCTGCCATTCCTTCCTGTGTATGCATACTTCTACTAGAGTCCTTATAGGACTCTACCTACTTATTTGTTTATCTGCCTGTCTTGGCTTTCAGACTGAAAATCCCTTAAGGGCAAGAGACCTACCTCATGCATGTCTTTCTATGTCTAGCATGTTCCTTAGTTCATTATGTTACATTGGGAATACTGTTTGTTAGGGCAATGCAGATGGAAAATTAATGCAGAAAAGTGGGAAAACAATCAATGTTAGCTAGGTGGAAAAGGTTAGTAAATTCAGGAGCAGCTGTACAGGTTATAAAGATCTCATAGGAGAGAGATAAGATGGAAAAAAGCACAGATGGTGCTGTGGAATTGCTTTTCACTCTTTTGATCATGAAAGTGAGGGTGGTCACAAACCTAGTGAGAATCCAGAATTGTCATATTCGCTTCAGAAGGCACTAGAATGAGGCCCCACCTCATGTTCCTTATGTGAATGATATTACAACGAGGAAAACCACATTGCAAGTGAAGTAAAAGGTGATGAGGCAGAGCTCAGTGGGGTTTAGTTGGCTCCATCTTGGAGGGAAATCTGGAGGGACATTTGGGTAGGGCTGAACCACAAAGAGCAGTGAGATGAAAAGGGAGAGTGTGGCTTTTGTTCCAGGCTTTACTTGAGCCAGTGGTTTGGGAGAACTTCCGGATCCTGCTGGTCTTGCTTCTCTTGCTGCCTCACCTGGTCTACTTTGACATCACAGCTTGGAAGGAAGCCCCGGAATCGAGAAGTTGGGGTGCTGCCACCACCCTAGGCCGTGGAGTCCGACAGGAGCCAACATGAAAAGGCACTTGTTACACACAGAATGTGAAGTGTTTCAGTCATTCTAGGTTTTTAATCACGTGCTTAGCTGCTAGGTAATTTACCGTTTTGGTTTTATAATGCCATCTCCGTCATTAAGGATTATATGTTATCCAGAGATAGAAGATGGTGGTCACAGTATGAATATAATTAATGCCAACTATAAACTTAAAAATCATTAAAAGGTAGATACTATGTCATGTGTATTTTGCCATAAGAATAAAAGGTTAGATGTTAAAATTTTAAAGATTTTAACATATATATTCAATATATGAGACATATGTTGATATAAATTTGTAGTAAAAAAGCACTACAATTTGTCATCCTAATCATTTTTTGGTGACAAGCTTAATAGTGTTAAGTTCACACATGTTATTGGGAAGCAGGTGATCAGAAACTTCTCAGCCTGCAAAACTAAAGCCATCCATACCCATCAGGCAGCTTTCCTTTCTCCCTCTCCTCAGCCCCTTGAAACCACCATTCTACTGTCTATGAATTTCATTATTTTACTTTATATAAAAGCAGAACTATACAGTATTTGTCCTTTTGTGACTGGGTTATTTCACTTAGTATTTTGCTCTCAAGACTCATCCATGCTGTAATCTGTGAGAGGATTTCCTTCCTTTTTAAGGCTGAATAATATCCTGTTGTATGTGTACACCACATTTTGTTTATCCATTCATCCATGGATGGACACCTGGGTTTGCTTCCACCCCTTGGCTACTGTGAATAATGCTGCTATGAACTTGGGTGTGCAAATATCTGTTTGAGGTTCTGGTTTAGATTGTTTTGCATATATAACCAGAGGTAGATACAATAATTCTATTATTTTTAACATTGTCAATAGGTGATCACTTTTAAAAATAATTTTTATTAAGATATATCCATTATATGGGGGAGAGATTTGTAGTGACAATTCTGATTAAATTCATATTGCACATTTTTTATATTGCCCCCATCGTCTTTCCCAATAATTTTATTTTAAACTCATTGTGGAACTTCCATAGTGTTTCTATAGCTGCTGTTCCATTTCACATTCCTACTGACAGTGTATTGGGCTTCCAATTTCTCTATCTCCTTCCCAACCCTTGCCATTTTCTGGTTGTTGTTGTCATTGTTCTGGTTTGTGTGGTTCCAGGGATTGAACCCAGGACCTTGCATTTGCTGGAAAATGTTCTACCTCTTGAGTCACACTTTCAGCTCTTTTTAAATTTCACATAGCCAACTCTCCTAACAGGCATGAAGTGCTACCTCACTGTGACTTTTTTTTTTTGTGGTGCTGGGGATTGAACCCAAACAAGTGTTCTAACACTGAGATACATCCCAGCCCCTTGAGTTTTTTTTGACAGGCTCTATCTC